AAAAATAAGTTATCAAAATTGCGTCGTCCGAAGCGTGAATAGGATTTTCAGTGCAAAATTGTCCTTGTTTGAAGAAAATCGGAAAAACTTGAAAGAAAAACAGCTTCCGACTTTGAAATATTTGTATGATAAAACATTCTTCAAAAGTTTCGTCATGGGCAACGCCGTTGGTAATCCGGGAGTTTGAAAGTAGTTCCAATGGCGGACACCGTCATACAACCGAGGCTAAATGTAGGGTACTGGAATCAGCTGAGGTTTGCCGAGTGGGATCTGGAATAGTCGTGTACAGAATAGTCATTATATGATTACTGTTCACTGTACATATTATTTGTAGGTTTATATATTCTTCTTTGAATCTTTGTAAATGTACGTATTTACGTACGAATAAATGAATTATTATAACCCGCGTTCTGGGTGATGTGAGGGATTGGCCAATGAAACGGTCTGTTACGGCGAGTTTTTGACGTGGGTTGCACGGAACTGTGGCATATGCTTTTTTTACTGTATTCTCGCCTCAACGGCTTTAATAAACATATATACATTTAAAATAAACTATATAATCTATAAAATATACATTCTTTAAAATGCTTAAAAATAAAATATCTAAAATAAAATATTTGTGCATATTTCGTCTATATGCACTGTTAAAATAACTATAATTGTGTCAAGGACAGCAGCTTTCAGTTCAAGGGCGCTGATCGAAGGATAGATACATTTGTTTCAGATCTTATAAATTGTTCAGATCTAGATTAACCTTTTATTGCTGACCGGGGGGAAAATCACACGAGGGTGAGGAACAATATGAAAATATTAAAATAGTCAGAATATGTGTGTTGATGTCTATATAACACCATCGCATATTCTGTACAAGTCTTGATAAATATTTCCGGAATATAAATTGATTATTTTTTTTTTAAAATTTAAATTAGGAAATGTTATTTCAAGGACGGTGATGATACATATTAGTTTCAGTACTTAGTTCTTCATACTTATATTTTTTCCAACCAGAGAAAAGATCGCATGGGGAAAATGAAACGGCAAAATACAAAGACGATTACGCGTACACCGGCACATCATGTTACACCGACACGTCATGTTACACCGGCACATCATCGGCACATCATGTTACACCGGCACATCATGTTTTCCGTACAATTATATACTATTCAAAAAAAGTAGGGGATATTTGATTTTTAAGTGTTATTAAAGTCACCTAATGAAACTGACGAAGAAACAAATGACAAAATGAAATGAAGTTCACATTCATCGATTTATTCCAAATGATCGTTAGACTAAGTAAGGCACAGACTGACCATTATAAGGGTAAAATGATACCCGGGGTCAAACAGCAAAGTAACCACAGCATCACAACTTAGATAAAATCCAAATTTTAGTTATTTGATTGGATAATATTAGATTGATTTTAGTGCTTAGCCAATCAAAATTGAAGTATCAGCTAAAATTTGGATTTTATCTTCAGTTAAGATTTCGAGAAACGGGGCCCAGATCTATATTTCGTTTCGGTTTTTTTCTATACTTTCGATGGCTTACACTACATGAAGATGTGACCGGTTGTAGTGGAAAGTCGCGTCAGATGTCATATCAGCGGCTTTTGACCGTATGACGTCAGACATTGATTAATCAACCAGCTTTGACGTTTCTAGTGGTTTACCCACAGTTCCGTCCATCACACGCCAGGAACTCGCAATAGGCTAACAGACCGTTTCATTGGCTAATCCCAAACATCATCCAGAACGCGGCTTATATAACAACTCTTCCTGGGCCCCCGTTCCTCGAAATCTTAACTAAAGATAAAATCCAAATTTTAGCTGATACTTCAATTTTGATTGGCTAAGCACTAAAATAAATCTAATAGTATCCAATCAAATTACTAAAATTTGGATTTTATCTTAGTTAAAATTTCGTGAAACATCCTTGTATTGTAAAGATATGTAAAAAGAAATGTTGAACTATAAAAAACGAAACGAAATAGGATCTGTGTTTTAATCAGATAGTGTTGACAATTACTTCTGGAATATATCTGATTCGTTTTTGTATATATTCCGCTGTCATGCTGACATTTTGTTGTTGATTAGGGGTTTTATTTCTTTTAATTAATTTTGAAACATTATATCTTTGTAAATTTTGAAACAATATCTATCCCTCCAGATAGTAAGAAAGTGTTGCCTTTCGTTATAAAATTATTTCCAGTCAAAGACAAAACAGCTGTGATGTATTTTACATGTCATCGTAGGTGATTGACATCAGACAAGATAAAGACGTATATTTCACTCAATTTTACTGAATCAAGTTGTGATTAGATAATATAACTGGGTCATTAACAACAACCACAATATATCGGTATATATTCTTATCTATATAACGTAAATTATATTAAAACATATCCATTAACCGAAAGGTTAAATTACTATTATATGATCACCACATCATGTGACTTCCGTAGTAATTATTTGGGGGTTAAATTCACAGTAGCTGAATGAGTGAACGAATATGGCGTTGCCTTGCTGAGAGAGAGAGAAAGAGAGAGAGGGGGGGGCAGAGAAAGAGAGAGGGAGAGAGAGATGGGTTTAACGTCCACTCGACAAAAACTAAATTTGAACCATTTGTTTTCCCCGAAATTATCTAGTTTGTGTCGAACGGACCTTAAACCCCCTCTCCACCTCCCCCCCCCCCCAAAAAAAAAGTACATGTTATGATAACGTGCTTAATCGGCCGCAAAACAAAAAAAAAGAAAAAAAAAGTGACGTGTCATCTTTTATTTTTAAAAAAATGTAAGCCAATTCTATTTCCAGAAAATTACGTACATTCTACTGAAAATATTGCCCGTCCATTTAAAACTTCCGCAGTAATTATTTTTGGGGTTCACGGTGGCTGAATGAGTGAATGAGTATGGCGTTGGCTCGCTGAGAGAGAGAGAGAGAGAGAGAGAGAGATGGTTTTAACGTTCACTCGATACAAACTAGGTCATTTCGGGACTAACACAAGGTTCAATTTTATTTCAATAATTCGCTTGCGCGTAGGGGTCTGCATTGGAAGGGAACCGGAGGACCCGGGGAAAACCCACAATATTGTACAGGTGATCCTACTCCTTGTCACGTACAACCGGGGAATCGAAACAGACAGACATTATGATATCATTAATAGGAGGCGCGGATCTATGATGTTATTTTAGAAATGCCCTTAGACTTTTATTGACTGGTTTCCTCTTGCCAGATGGACGAAAAATCGGGGCTCAGTGTACCCAGTGGCGTACACCTAAAGGAGCCCTGGACATTTGGAATTAGAGTAAAATTCACCCCTTATAGCAGACGGCCTGACGTACGCCGCCTTCATTTTCCCGGTTGGTGTTGAAAAGTAGGACGTTAAACCCCATTTCATTTCATTTCATTCGATGAAAATGAAATGAAATGAAATGGGGTTTAACGTCCTACTGTTTTGCTCCGAACTGGGCTAATAAAGACGGGCATGCGCCATACATTGTGCTATGAGGGAAATTTTGCCCGGACAGCGGCACTACGGCCTACTCTTATATATCGAATTCCAACTGTCAAGGGATCTTTTACCTGGACACCAATGTGTACACGGGACCTCGGTTTTTCGTCTCATCCGAATGACCAGACAGCTATCCTTGTTAGGCCCTCCGCCCTGCACCACTGACAATGGGGAACCACGCCAGAAAAACTGGGTGAACTTTCTCGGCCAATGCAGGGATCGAACACCAGGCTAGTGACCTAGCGTCTTACTCAGTTAGCCACCGCGATCCCCTTCATTCGATGCACAGATATCCCAACTATAAATGACAATATCCACTTTATAATGTTGTAAAATAGTGCAATAACACAGTAATTGTAATAAATCTAACATTGAAAAAATAAATTTATTGAAATGGTAAATTATCATCTAGTTATCATTCACATCTTGTTTTTTTGTGATTTTATTGATAGCGGACGTTAAATATACCTTAAGGCACACACACACACGCACACACCATCACGGGGGGTTGTATGTCAGAATGATTAGCGCGTGTGCGTTGTATCATAAGGTCTGTCATTGAGCCAACTGGCGTGGTTTCGATTCACCGGTTGTACGTGACAAGGAGTAGGGTCGTCTGTCCCCTCACTGCTAAAGACCCCTACGCGCAAGCGAATTATCGAAATAAAATTGAACCATGGTTTGTGTCGAGTGGACATTAAACCCAATTTCTCTCTCTCGCTCACACGCCATCACACACACACAACTGAGCGTATATCTTCAAATTCAATACATTTGTAAATATTAATTATCAAAAGACACTATTATGTCAGAGGCCGACTCTGTGAATACACAATCCACGCGATAAATACAAAAAATAAACACGGCCCTATAATCAGTATTCTAAATAATATATTATAAATACATCTTAAACTATATATGTAATATAAAAATTATACTAGTATTTGTTCCTAAATGTAAACATACCTTTTATAACGCGATACATATCATATCTTGTTGGTGTCTTTTACACAAGCCACGCTCTGTCAAATCTGCTTACGTCGCACAAGACAGACATCCCAAATCTTTACATAAATTTGTAAATGACTTTATTATTCATTTTCACATAATTCCTACAAAATTCGGACTTTAAAACCGATTTACTGTAATTCCATTTTTGAAAACTGTGAACGGTATATAAACCGTATACGTCTGTCATAGAAGAATATCTGCCGTTACTTTATATGAGTTTACCCCCTCTTCGACATTATCGACAATTTTAAAAAATATGATGCAAAAATACAAAAATGACAATATAGGAACATCAGAGTTTTAAAGAATTAATAGAAAACATTATTTAAATATTTATTATTCAATGTTGTCACCATTTTAGCATAATGATAAATAATTTATTACTATAAACATTCGTCGATTATGATTTGTACGAAGGCGTAAGATAATAGAAATCAACAGCACAATTTCCCGGTCGAGTGTAAAAGGGGCCGCGACAGGTGAGAGGTATTAGCACTGTCCGACTGTCAAATCGAAGTGATGGTTCTATTAAACATTTGCAAATTCTAGGATTATTAGGAAACTATGTATGTTCGTACTAAAAGCATGTTTTTCTCAATAATTTTACTAAGTGTCATTTGTGAATTACAATGCGTATACAGTTTGAAAGGACACGCGACTCAAGTTGTAGACACGGGGACTGATTATCGTGAGTTAAAACCACAAACAGGCGACACATATTCAACGATGTTTTCGGAAATGGATAATAATTTTGTGCTACAGAAATTAGAAATACCGGTGAAGAAAGTGGGAGTAACTTTGGATATAATTAACAATCATCAGGTAAAAACATGTTTTTAAATTTAAAATTACAACTTTGTATCTAACCCATTCAATCTCAGATTTCTAAAATAAACACTGGAAAAGATTTAGACGAAACATATGAAGACAGTTAATCCCAAAATACATTGGCAAGGAGTAGGGTCGCCTGTCTAACCTCGTGGGTTTTCTCCGGGTGCTCCGGTTTCCTCCCACTGCTAAAGACCCCTACGCGCAAGCGAATTATTGAAATAAATTTGAACCATTTGTTAGTCTCTCTCTCTCTCTCTCTCCCAAATACATGCTTAATCGGCCGCAAAAAAATTAGTGACGTATCATCTTTTTTTTAAAAAGAAATGGAAGCCAATTCTGTTTCCTGAAAGTTACATAACTTTTTTAAAAAAATATTGCACTTCCATTCAAAACTTAATGGACGGGGATTAAACTGAAATCTCGAAGCGCCAATTCGGAACAATTAAGTTTACAAATCGTAAAACTTATACCGTTCATTCATCATCAATCGCTCAGACTGTTCACGTGGTGTTGTGACCTTGATATTTGGCGGGAAACCCCTGGAAGTAGGTCATGTCAGGTGTCTAAGGATCGCTGTATGTAGACACGATGCAAGAAAATAGGGATTCTTGCCAAGAACTTTTATATTTTATGTTGAAGTACATGTATATACACATCCATATTATTCAAGTTTTCTAGTTGCGAATTCAGGTTAGTAAATTGCGAAATTTTAATTCCAAAATCTGCTAATATAAAGGTTTTGCATGTCGGGAAGATGTCCTTGCAAAACAGAGCTGCATCTGTTTTGCATATTTGTACTTTTAAGATATTTTTGCATGTTGGAATCTATTACAACCACGTACCCAGACGGTGTTTAGTGTTAGGTTTCCAGAGTTCTATGAAATAACCATAAATTCCAGTACCCCCAGGAGTCACAGTTATGTATACATGCCTTTTACTTCTGTGTTAGGATTTCGCATGTATATTCCGGACATGTCCTATGCTATTTTCCAAACGTCCAAAATTGTCCGACCAGGAATATGTTCAATCAGACATCAAGATATGGTGAATAATATTCAAATTTAATATAGTGTACTGAGTGTATAACTACCACTCAACCCAATTATCGTTGGTAATAGGCTGGATTGATAGGGTAATTAAACATACATTATGCAAGAGCAAAATCGGCCTATTGTAGGTCTTTCTTTAGGCCTGAAATGTTATAAAAACTATTAATTAGACATTAATTAACTTATCCAGACCATAATCAGCTCACAATGTCAAGGCTTGCCTGCGATATTTGTTGGATTACAGTCCAATTTGCTGCAAAACTTTCCTTCGTGATTAACGATTAAATGGATAATCAAGACTATTAGTTTTGTCTTATCGTCTTCAGTAATGATGATCGAGGCTAAGCGGAACTTTCATCCGCTTGGTTCTCGGTTCATAGTGGATCAATTTGACTGAAATTTTCAGCAAGTTGCCTTTACATTATGTAGTTTTTATACGTCCACATTCATAATGTGAACGTATTATGCCGTCGCCCCTGTCTGTGTGTGTGTGTGTGTGTGTGTATGTATGTATGTGTGTGTGTGTGTGTCTGTGGTTCGCCTACAGGGCGCAATTCTTCATGGATTTTCTTCAAACTTGGTATACTTATTCCTTATACCCCAAGGAAGATCCCTATTGTTTTTGGTGCATGCCCGACCCCCCGGGGCAGAGCCACGCCCATTTCTAGTATTTGTTTGTTTGTCGTCTACAGGCCACATTTCTTAACTAATAATCTTGAAACTTTGCATACACATTCTTTGTACCCTAAGGAACATCCCTATCGTTTGGGGTGCATGCCCAACCCCCAGGGGCAGAGCCACGCCCATTTTCTTTTCGTGTGTCTTTGTGTCGCCTACAGGGCGCAATTCTTAATCGACCGTCTTGAAAAAATTTCATATGAATTCCTTATACCCTAAGGATGATCCCTATTGTTCTTGGGGCATTTCCGACCCCCAGTGGCAGAGCCACGCCCATTTCTTGTATTCATTGTTTGTTATCTACAGACCGCATTTCGTAACGTATCACCTTGAAACTTTGCATGCTTACTCCTTCTATCCTAAGGAACATCCCTATTGTTTGTGGTGAATGCCCAGCCCCCAGGGACAGAGCCACACCCATTTTCTTTTTGTGTGTCTGTATGTCACTTACAGCCTGCAATGCTTAATCGATCATCTTGAAAACTTTTTCATACTTATACGTTATACCCCAAGGCTGACCTCTATTTTTTTGGTGATTGCCCAACCCCCAGGGGCAGAGCCACACCCATTTTTTCTTTGTGTCTCTGTGAGTTGCCTACAGGCCACGATTCCTAATGGATTGTCTTTGAACTTGGGATATGTTTTCCTTATAGCCTAAGGGGGGATCACGTGGCTAAGTGGGTAAGACGCTAGCTCGCTAGCCTGGAGGTCGGGTGTTCGATCCCTGCATTGGCCGAGAAAGTTCATCCAGATTTTCCGGCGTGGTTCTCCCTTGTCAGTGATGCAGGATGGAGGGGCTGACAAGGAAAGCTGTCTAGTCGTTCGGATGGGACGAAAAACCGAGGTCCCGTGTACACATTGGCGTGCACGTAAAAGATCCCTTGACAGTTGGAATTCGATATAAGAGTAGGCCGTAGTGCCGCTGTCCGGGCAAAATTTCCCTCATAGCACACTGTATGGCGTATGCCCGTCTTCATTAGCCCAGGTTAGGAGCAGAACAGTAGGACGTTAAACTCCATTTCATTTCATTTCATTTCATTATAGCCTAAGGACGACAACTGCATGTCACGACCCCCAGGGGCAGAGTCACACCCAATTTTTATGTTTATCATTTACAGGCCCGAATTCTGGATGGATCAACTTGGTATTTGGCATATGTATTCCTTATAGCCTAAGGGCATCAACTATTGATTTTGGTGAATGCCCCAACGCCCAGGGGCAGAGCAATGCCCAATTTTTGCCTTTAACGCCCAAAGGCCACAATTCTGAATGGATTATTTTGGAACTTGGTGTCACACCCACTTTATTGTTAGTATTTTGTCTGTAAATTTGGCAAAACAAACCCGACGCCTAGCCTTCTTTGCCTCTGATCATATTACAGCCATTTCATATTTCATTCTCTTCATTTTAAAAAGTACCATATCAATCAAAGCTGGAATGTGGACGTATATTGCAGCGTTAGCGATGCTCTTGTTAACTATTACAGTGAGAACTGCCAACTCGTTATCTAATCTCCCATAATGTATCTTTAAGTGATCAACATATTTACCATCTATACATCTACGTTGATATTTTGATTGGAATAGTGTTTTAAATGATAGCGCGTGCGATCAGAGTCGAGTACCATCATTAGCAGACGATGTCACTCTCTCTGTATCATGGAGCCCAAAATATTTTCGGGATGTCATTTTCTTTTTACCTCCATCCATCCATAAGTCAAAACAGTGTATAAGATGAATGCCGGACTTCTGCTAAAAAAGTTTGCTTCCTTTGTAATAACCAAAATGTTTTTAGACATTTTTATAAGCAAACACAGAATTCAATTATCAAATCTGCCCTTTTCAGACAAAATCTTAACCAATACAGTGTCTCTAACCTTCTTTTATTTATAAAAACATGTTGGAATTTTTTTTTTTTATTGCAAATAAGCAGATGCCTGTGCAGACCAAAAGATACAATACATGTATATGTATATGCTCTTTAAACATGCATTATGCAAGAGCTAAATCTGCCTATTGCTAGTCTTTCTTTAGGCCTGAAATGTTATATAAATTATTAATTAGACATCTATTAACATGAAAAGACCTTAATCAACTCTCAATGCAAACTTATGTGTCAGATTTCCACTGGATTTTAAACCGATTTGCTACTCAATGCTTATTGATGATTTAATCCAAAAATGGATAATTGAGACTATGATTTTTATTGTACCGACTTTATTAATGATGATTGAAGCTAGGCCTAAAATTCAAAAGCTAATATCTCGGTTCAGAAATTTTCAGCATATTCCCTTATACATTATCTCATTTTTAACTATCATAGTGCGAACTGCTAGCTCTTTATCTAATCTTAAACAGTGATGTCAAGGATTCACATGTTTTTTATCTTTTCCCAAAGATTTTAGCATGTGACTACCGCAGTCCACCTTCACACCACAGCATTATGGGACTGCTGTGATAATAATTATACTGTCAACACCTTAGAGGCGGGTTGGATGGTCGAATGGTTAGCATGTGCGCACTGATCATAAGGCTTGTCATTAATTCAACTGGCATAGTTTCAAATCCCCGGTTATATGTGACAAAGAGAAGGGTCGTCTGTCCAACCTCGTGGGTTTTCCACAGGTCCTCCGATTTCCTCCCACTGCTACAGGCAAGCGAATTATTGAAATAAAATTAAACCATATGTTAGTCCCAAAAAGACCTAGTTTGTGTCAAGTGGATGTTAAACCCCATTTCTCTCTCTCTCTCCCACCTTCACACCACATCATTGTGCGATTGCTGTTTATACTGTCAACACCTTAAAAACAAAGATCCTCTCAACATCGTTTATTGTTATTAAAAGGGATCCCAAAAATAATAATGGTTGTAACCCATTCTCCTTCTGTTGACACCTGTACGGTATATTGGAAAACCAAGTAAGCATAACCCTTTTTCAATATTTACATTTCTTGGTTCATTAATCTATAGGTATATATACTAATATCCAAAGGTATATACACTATAGTAAGTACTAATTACCTATCATCTACCTTTACTTGATATACAGGTACGCTAAACATAAAACACCTATATATCTTTTTGCTATTACTTGATGCATGAACTGTAAAGTATAATGATAAAGGATGGGAGGAGGCCTGTCAGCATGTGATCTCTATTTAAAAATAACCAAAAGAAATCTCTCCTATTTTAGGATAAAAATTTGGATCAGATTAAAATATGTCATATAAGCACAAATTAGACATTTCTAAAAAATATATGTTTG